TAAAAATATACATGTATACTTCGACAATAAAATTTACATGTATTATGTCGCCCTTACAAGAGGATTAAACGCAGATATTTGAACACACAGATGTATCAGCTATGGATGAAATTTATTTTACCGACTTTTATATTATCAAACTGTGCGGATTTGGGTATTTTTTGGCGTTATAGTCTGAATAATACTTTAAACTTCAGCGTTAATTAAGATTTACACAAAGTCGATTTATTTCGTAATTATTCCAATTTTTAAAAATGTTTTATAGTTTTATATAGTATAATATTTATTACTGGTGTCAAAAAATAAGACTAGATATTTCTATCGTATTTTACAATTTTCAGATTTTCAGAGGCACTGGTACTTTTTAGTTTACAAAGTAAATTGTATGATGTAGTCACGTGACAAGGCAAGCTGTTATAGCTATAGGCAACAAAATGAGTATGTTAATTTTTGTGACAACCCAACTCGTGAAAATACAGTTGGAGCACTTCCTGCACCAATTTTTGTATCGTTGTTGTGTTTTTGAAGTTGTATGACTCTAGGTGCGAGTTCTGAACGCTTTAACCAAGTAGGCCTACGTGTTGGAACTGATGCCTGAAAATAGACTGTTTTTTGTGAAAGTCCATCTTTGTAAGGCAGATGAGCTAAACAGAGGCTATGCAGGTCACTGGTAGATAATGGTGAACTGTGGTCGGGATTTCAGGAGAGATGACGTGAGGGGGAGGGGGGATATTTTGGAAGTACCTTATTTCAAGAGTTCAGACAGTTCCGAGTACTACACGTTATTAAATAACAGTTGACAAATTGCCTTATCTCTTTAATGTTAACTTTAAAGGAAATGTTAAAATTAAATTAAAATAAAAACAAATATTTTCATTATAAGTATTCAGTTGTTTAACTCAATTAAGGCTACACCGATTTAATTTATGCATGACATCCGCCCGTGCATTAATTTTCTCTTGTTCTCAAAAATAAAATAATAATAAATAAATAAAATAAAATAAAAAATAAAATAAAATAAAATAAAATAACTCGCCTGACTGTGTCACCGTCTTTGCCAACTCAAAATGCAGCAAAGGTCTGGGTTTTAGCAAATTCCGTTTAACTTCTACCTACTGAATTAGTCGTAAATAGGATTTTCTACACGTACGAACTGCCACCAAACGTGGATACAGAGAATGCAAACGTGTCGTCGTTAAAATACATTTAAACATAAACGTCCACAAGAAATAGGGAGGTACGTGATTATAGATTGCTCAACTATAGGAAAGACGCGGCGGCAGCGGCGAGCAACTATCCTCCAGACACAACATCAAAGGTGGATATACACCATTTCCAGTTCTTTGTATGATACAAAGATGATAGTTGATTATTTAATATTTTCTGCCCCGAGAAAGACGATTTGTTTGATACACTGAGATGTTGATGCCTGCTGACTATACAACATTGGTCAAAATGGACCACCTTTTTGACCAATGTCGTATAGTTTTCTCAGCGCGAAAAAATAAGTGTTGTTGGTTTGATACAATATGTGGTCTGTGGCCTCATTTGCCTTTAGTTTCTAGATGCGTAGTTCTTTAATTTATCAGCTATTTTTAAAATCGCTGCATGCATTAGTTTCGGGGTCTCCAAGGGCTTTTATAGTTTTATTAGACCTGTTGAAAATATCTTCTTTATAGATCAGTCAATTGTTTTTTAGCGTCTTTATGTTGCTTGTTACTGAATAAAAAAAAAAGCATTTAAAAAAATTATTTTCTCCTTGTGATCCAAATATTATATCAAAAATGACAATCTGTCATGGAATCACAATATATATTTTTTTTCGGTCAGCAACAGAAAACACCAAATGCAAGTATTTAAAGAAAATAAAACGTTTTGACAATTGTTTTGGGGAACATACTTTAGCCGTGACGCAAAGCCCCTCCTTACGCCATGTCTAATTTACCATGACTGAACAACTACAAAATATAAATGCGGTATAAAAATTAAAACTGAGTGACCTGGACCATACTTTACCAAACGTTTCCGGAACAAGCGTTACCATTAACGGCTCTTTGCGTAATGTAAAGACATGGTAAAAATTAAGATTTAAATTTAAATTTAGACAGTCGTGAAATTTTTGTTCTATACTCATATATGTTTAAAAAAATTAATTCGACTTTAAATTCATTCAATTTTATTTTTGAAACAGATAATTAATGTTTATTGTAACTCATCGTGTTTTTTTTCTGTAGCAAAATAATAAAATTAATAGATAACAAAACATTCAATTATGGAACATTATCTCTTGCTCTTCGTCTTTCTTGGGGAATGTGTCATTCACAGCCTTGTATGCTTCAACGGCCATGAGTTGTTTTGCCTGTAGATGGCGCTCCAAGATGGGTAGGTGAAGGTCGCGGCAAAGTCCCGTGAGGTCAAGGTCGAAGTGAGGTATTATCGCTTCTAACGTCGTGCCGAAAAATATTCGTTCAATTCTGAAAAATGACACAATTTAACTGCGATCAAATTATGAAAACCAACTGAAGTTAATCACAAAATAACATTTAAATGATAGAAGATATTTCAGTCCGAATAAAAAAGTTGATGAAAATAAGTACTCAGTACAGTATGCACCAAGAGCGGATCCAGGATTATTTGAAACTGGTGGTGGGGGTCCATTTTATTATGAATGATAGGCCTCGGATGCGAAGCCGACCCTTCCCAGATAGCAATGAGCGGTCGGGCCGACGTCAGCATTGGTCGGCACGGTCGCGGTCGGCAGTCGTTGTCGGGCCGACGTCGGGCCACTACTAGTGACCCGACGTCGGGCCGACGACTGCTTCACGCCGTTGGCCCGACGTCGGTATAACGGTGGCTCACCAGCTGTGCTCGATTTGCACTAAGCGGCCAATTTCAAATCGAGGTCACCCACACTAAGCGGCCATAGATCGTTGCAAGTGCACTTGACGGTTATTTCATATTTTCCGTACTTTGCACCAAATTGTTAGGTAAGTATTTACTTTAAAGTGTTTATGTTTTTCGTACTATACGTGGAGGTTTATTTGTCGTAGATGAATTAACGAAAACAAGCAAATCTGTCAGTAATTTGTTAGTCGTAGCTGCAGGCAGTTGGCGCGCTGCGTGCCACCTTTGAACCAACGTCGGGGCGACGTTGGGTTTCCGGCGGCCAAAAAGATTTTCCCGCTCAAATTCTTTTATGCTTTGAAAGACATTTCAATTACCACATTTCATGTATAGACAATTTATAAATGTGAATGAGCAACGTTCTAGTACTTTTTTTG